TTAGGGCCCGACTGAGATATGGGGTTCCATATCTCAGTCGGGCCTCAACTATAGCCCGTCACAGATAAGTGTCATCTGTGACGGGCTTTAGTTTTATGCTGATATACCATGGCTGTGCGACCATATCTCAATCGGGCGAAACTTCGGCCCGATTGAGATTACTTCCTTGTGACGGCCCGCAAATTCCAGTCTTGTTATGGGCCATCACAGATGAAAGGGTCTGTACTAGCGTTAGTACGTACTACTAGTTAGTTGCGCTTTAAGTCTATATACAATTATACATACTCCCTCCGTCCCAAACAAAACCAATTTAGGAGGAGATGTGACTCCTCCTAATACAACGAATCTGGATAACCTTTTGTCCAAATTTGTTGTATTAGGAGGGGACATCTTGGTTTTCTAGGTTGGTTTTTTTGAGACGGAAGGAGTAGGTCTTAGTTATGTCCTAACTGTGACAATAGTAGTAATATATTTTAAGTGCTCCCATGCTTCGTCTCTTAGGTTAATTAGAGTTGCACAAATTTCGAATCACAAGTCTTATGTAGTCTAGACTTGATTTGTGCTTCAATTTTTTTAAACATTCTGACAAAGAAGCACTTATGTTTCCTTTCTTTTTCCTTGAAAGAAGTTGCAAAACAGCTAGCTAGCTATTCTCAGCAATGGTATGAATGCATGTGAAGAACACCACAAGAAAATGTGTGTAAGCTCCGGCCTGGCCATGAGCTAAAACCTCAGCCGCCATTGATGAAGGACTCCATTGGAATGCAGAGATTTTATATGATTTTCATAGGATTTAGCTCAAATCAATCAAAATCCTCTAGAAATCCAAACGAAACCTAAAACCAATGGGTGTTTTTTGTCACGCCATCTTTCGGCATAATTTGCTCGATTTAATTAATTAAGTTGTTATCTCTTATATATATATATATATATATATATATATATATATATATATATATATATATATGGGGGAGCGTATCCTATGCACACAGGCCCTCGCGTGCACACACCGTGTACACCAACTAAAAATTATCACAAAAAATTCTAGGAAAATTCATACATGTACTTTCAATAGTATTACATCTACGTGCAAAGTCGCATCTTCAAATTCATTCTACATAGAGAATAACAAAAAGGATAAAATTCTGACAAAATTGCAACCTTAAAACTGTCAGATTTTTTTGTTTTTTTGTTACGGCTAAAATATAATGAATTTGACGTTAAGATTTTAACCCTAGGTGTAATACAATTGAAAGTATGTGTATGATTTTTTCTAGATTTTTTGGTGACATTTTTTAGTTGGTGTGCACGTGTGTACACGTGAGGGCCTGTGTACATAGGATATGTTGCATATATATATATATATATATATATATATATATATATATATATATATAATCTAATTTTGTATGAGCAGTATATATATATTTTACCGCAATATTGGACTAATTAATTAGTGAGTAAATTACATTTTAGTCCATATATTCTTATCAAAGTTTCAGTTTGAACCACTTTTAAATCAGTTTTTTCACTTCAGACTAGGTATTGTTGTCAAATATTACACTCTGGATCGGTGACCTATATGTTTTTTTTACGGGGAACAGTAGGAGAGACTCCTACTGCAAAATTTTATAAAAATTGAGAAGTATTTACGGAAGACTGTACAACAAAGAAGGGGAGTGAAATTTACAAGCTGTCAATCCATGATTACGAAAGGGCCCAATCATCTATATTGTCCATGTGTCACTTGTATAGTTACATGTGGACCACCACCTAGTCAAAAGTGTAACATTTGGCAATAATACTTAGTCCAAAGTAAAAAAAAATATGAGTAAGCGGTCTCTAAACTTGTGCGGTATCTAATATATAGGTCCACAAATTCTCATAATTTATTTTCGGATATTAAAACTTGTTTTGGGTGTCAAATGGATTCTAACTCGCTGTGTGTGACTTGGCATGTGGTGGTCGTGCCTACGTGTAATGGGACCCAAATATTAGTAACATATAGACTCTCTCTCTCTCTCACACACACAAAATATATTATTGCAAAATAAAAAAAACATCCTTTTCACCTCTCTCTCTCTCTACAACAATTTTCTATGTGATTAGCATTTCGATCCCACTAACATGTACTCCCTCCATTTCATATTATAAGACTTTCTAGCGTTGCTCATATTTATATATATGTTAATGAATCTAGACATATATGTGTGCCTAGATTCATTAACATCTATATGAATGTAGGCAATGCTAGAAAGTCTTATAACTTGAAACGGAAGTAGTAGATGCTATCATGGCATGCCACGTCAGCGAACAGAGTGGGTTGAAGTTTTTTGATCTATATAACACCGTGCATGACAAGTTCAGGGACTAAAATATATTTCGAAAATTCAGGGACCTATAAGAGACACCCGTATAAGTTTAGAGACCGCCCATGCACTTCACTCGTAAGGATGGTCCAAAGTGAAACATTGGTGATAATATATAGCCAAAGTGTAATTTACTACTCCTAATTACTTGAGCGTTCATACAGCTAGCGCTTGTAATCTTTTGCTACTAATTTTTTTGCTTTTTTCATAAACATGGTACAAACTCAGGCGCTCACAACACGGGTGCCTCGCTATCGATTACCGCTGAAAAAAATAATTAGCTTTAAATTAATGCGAGCACTCGTGTTAAATTTAGAACTTAGAACTTAAATCAAGGTGGGCTAGTTTACACCACAAGTAAGCAAACCAATTGAGTTACGCTCAATTCGTGTAAATTATGCTTATTGAAATATCTTCCTAAACCTCATGCACACGCGCACGTTCAGTTGATCTAGAAAAAGGCATATACACATGCACTGGTACGTACTCCATTCCAAAACCGCTCCTAGTACAATGAATCTGGATAACTTTTATCCAAATTCATTGTATTATGAGGGTTTTTTTTTCAGGGACGGAGAGAGTACATAGAGTTGTTGCCGTATTTGGTATAGACATGTATGCACCCATGCATACACTAATATCAATATTATCATTCACTGAACCTGTCCACAATAGTGGCTTCGCACCCATGAGATCCACGCATCTACTCCAGATTAGAAGTTAATTAACAGTCTATGTTCAATGAACCTTAACATGTATCTGGAAAGGACTTTTACAATGTACGTGCATGTGTACCTGCAAATTGAGCCGTTGGATTCCTTATGGAGATCTTGCGTTGTAAATAGATTTTCCCATATGTATATTTATTAATATTATTGTATACTAGCATAATGTCTGTGTGTTGCAATGATTCTAAATAACATTCATTGACATAATTAAAATTCTAAACCATATATCACAATTGGACTGAAGAAAATATAATCATAAAAATAACAATATGAAACTACAAATAACTTTGGCCGGAAAGATAATTCCATATCAGAAAATATATATAATTAAAATCCCTTTTTTCATTTAGCTATAAATAATTCAATACATAGGAAAATTATAAGTTCCAATAAATTTTAATGGATCAAATAGTTATAAAACTAATACTGTAAATGGAAAAACAACTGAAATTAGTTAGAAATTAAAAGAAAATTTATTTCAGCCCATGGATGAAAATCCGATCCGTTAAAACGGAACGGGTACCTGTTTAATTAACATAAATTAAAATATTTATGTTCAGTTCATATTCCTATGGTTTCAATATTATGTGAGTCGTCTAGGAGCATGATTGGGCTAGACCAGAAAGAAATAGGGCCTTCGTCCATAGAAGGTGGAGGTTGGCAACGAAGAAAATCAGAACAACATGAAATAAGGAACATAAGAAGAGGGAAGATGGGTGTCGATCCTCTAGCGACCAAACGGCGGTTAGTAAGGTGGTTGGACGTGCCCCACGATGTGACTCGTCCATAGATGGTGGCGGTTGGCAATGAGAAAACCAGAATAGCGGAACAACAACGGCGTGGTCCCGATGGAGAGAGGAATGGCAACGGCGAGCTCTTATTGTGAACACGACCAGATGACTGCGTCAAACGCGTTCCCGTATGAGTAGGTTCTGTTTTCCTTGAACATGCAGGAACGAAAGATGGAGAAAAACGACTAACGCTATTCATCATCTTCCCTAGCCGAAACAAGAAACATATATAAGAGAAGTGAAGATGGGTTCCCATGTTCCGGCGACCAAATGGTGGTGAATAAGGTGGTCGGACGTATCTCACAATGTGACTTATCCATGGATGTTGGCAACGAAGAAAACCAGACAACAAGAAAACGACCAGCAACAGCGTTGTCCTGAGAGAGAGAGAAATGGCAACAGTGAGCTCTGATGATGAATATGGCCGGTTGAGTGCGTCAAAACATGTACCCAGGAAAGGGGGTTTGTTTTCTTTTTTGTTGAATGCGCAAGAGGGAGTGCAAGAGAGAAGAAGGGTGCTAGGGGTGCGGGGGAGGGAGAGCGCGCGTAGCAAGGTAGGATAGGACGCTTTTTTTGGGGGGAGGGAGAGATGGGGTGTGCCGGGAGGAAGGGAGGGAGGCAGAAGCGGAGGCACACGAGAGGGAGGGAGGAATGCAGCCCGGGGAGGGAGAGGACGGACACAAAACTCGTTCAGAAGCCTTACTTGTTTTTTAATTAAGTAAGTATATAGATATAGATATCGATAGCTAGTCGATCTTACCGTACGTACGTTTGCACGGTGAAAATAGTGTTAGCTAGCGATAACATCTCATGCATGTATACCGTCGTTAGTCCACCTCAGATAGCGCAGCCATGTGCTTACCTAGCTAGCTAGTGCAGTTAAGGCCAGTTTTAGGGGCTCGAATTCTACATATGACCAGTGCACATTTCAGTATTATTTCACGGTTTAATTTGCGTGTGATTTCATCCTCATAATGAAATATCCATTGGTGTCGGAGCTTGTTATTTAATTTATGCCGACGCACGGAACGAAATACAAATTAAACTAACTAAAGCAGATTGGACTGAAAGATCAAATGAAATGTTCAATTAATCATATGCTAAGCTAGTTGATACAGATTGACAAGCTAGAATTAATCTAGCTGAAATTAACATACATTGACACGACGTACTAATGCTAGAAGGAAAAGAAAACACGACAAAAGTTGAAGAAGAAGAAACACAATACGTACAGAAAATAAAGAGAGTAAAGAAAAGCTACAACACGGACAACACAATACATATATTGCATGCAATAATAACACTCACGCGGTGACTAATTAATGCACAGACAACCTCTCGTCTCTAAACTTGGTAATTCAGAGCTTCTTCTTCCCAGCTGGGCCATCGATCTTGTTGACGAAGGCATGGCCGATGCCCGGGCTGTGCCCCGGGTTCGTTGGCCGGACATCGTCGGCGTCATCGTCGGCACTATTGACGACGGCGTGACCGATACCTGGGCTGTGCCCCGGGTTCGTCGGCCGGACATCATCGGCGTCATCAGCGCCATTGACGATGGCGTGATGACCGATACCTGGGCTGTGCCCTGGGTTCGTCGGCCGGACATCGTCGTCGTCGACGTCGCCATTGATGGCGACATGATGACCGATACCTGGGCTGTGCCCTGGGTTGGTCGGCCGGACGCCGCCGGAGGCGCCGACCATGGGACCGCCAATCTCCGACGAGGGGGACACGGCGCCCTCGACCACTCCATTGCCATGCGATAACAGGTATCTCCTGATCTGCATTTCAGAGGTGATGCCATCGTCGTCAGGCAAAGGCCTGCCCTGAGAAGAAAATAGCTGCAGGGAAAACACAAGTATAGCTAGCATAGTGCAAATGTTGGCCACATTCTTGTTAAGTGCCATTTTACACGCTTAATGCAGCTAAGCTAGACTGACACTAGATTTATTAGTAGCTAGTAATATAACTATAGCTAGAGCTAGAGGCTACGTGCTACTCTAATGGACTATCAGAGGTGTGCTTAGGTGTTTGGTTGATGCATATTCCATGCCCTCCTAGATCTTTATATAGAGGCCACCGGTTCGTGCATGCGCATGGTTTATACACACAGGGCATAGGGTTTTAATTCATGACAACACAGTAGTACTTACATAAAATTGTGCAACGACCCTTTCAAGTACATAGAATTTTTTAATGTGCTCTGCAAAGATAGATCAGATCACTTTAACATATAACAAATGTACCAAGTCTTCATTCTAAAATGCAGACAATCAAATAAGACTAATCCTGCCGAAATGAAATTCTGAAAAGGGAGAGAGAGAGAGAGAGAGAGAGAGAGAGAGAGTTAATCTTCATTGCATTTTCTTTTTATCTTTTTATGTTTCCCCAGTGATCAATGAATTTAGATTTCAATGTTTGTCGGATTTAAATGGTGTAATTTTTATCGTAGAACTTTGCATGACCGTTTGCATTGTATAATAGTATTATGAAATACGCATTCATAATCAAAATAAATAGGATACATTTGCAAAACATTATGTGGCAAATGTTATGTTCGAAGTACGTATAGTTGTGATATACTTTATACGTACAGTGAAACCAATATTATGACTTGAATTTCAATTTTTTCGATAACGACGAAAAAAATGTTACATTATTTCCAACCTCTGCTCTAGGGTGTCCTTAATTTCTTAAAAGGTAGCTACGTACGGTAGGAATAAATTGACAACATCACCAGCTATATAGTTTCAGTTGACATATATTGTTCATGACCTTTTTTCCCAATAATATGCATCCATGCACATATTTTTGTTATGAAATAACAAGAAGGATCCAATCAACCCTGTACTAAACTGACACTTATTTTCTCGTTATGATCATCATTTTTACAGCCCGTTCTTTGTAAAGACATGAGCTAGCTAGCATAGTTAATATTGCTAAAATCAAACACAACACAAGAATCAAGTACACACAAGACTAGCCATGTGAGTCCATGCATGCATGGTCCTATACGACCGATCTCCTTTTGACCAACAGATTTTCACATGAGACCTGCTTTAATTAATTACTAGTGCTTTTGTCGGGAGATCATATAGGATATTCTATGTTGATGCCTCAACTATAAACCTAAGCCTTTTATTTATTAATCACTTCCGGGCCAATGGGAAGGACGTAAAGGAGATCGCTTTCTATAGCTAACAGTTAATTAATATGAGCTTTACAGTTTAAACCCTCCTAATTAACTATATGATCAAGTGTCTACCAACATATAGTGGTATATATATACCTTTCCCTAACTTGGTATCTGTCTAGCATCTTGCATATTCGATCACTAGCATCACCGAGCATTCACTTGGCATTGTAAATTCATGCATGCTAGCTAGCTGCATTGCATACTCCCAAGTCCCAAACCGGAGGGAGTACTAAAATTTACAATTACTCCAATTAATAAGTTGAATGCGTGAATTTCCCATAGATTGTTCCACAAGTCAATTACGATTATGTTTTGAACTATTTATACGGCCAGGGATAATCATGGGCTACATACTACGTATTTGACTAAAAAAAAGTCTAAACTTTTAATTTGTTAGTTATACATGCATGTTACTCGATTTTTTATTTTTTTTGGGAGAAATGCATGTTGCTTGAATCATCTATTAACTTATTAAAGTAATAGAAAAAAGAGTCTTTGCGTTCTCGCTCTCATGGCCTAGAAATTCTCCTATTATTCGGAGAAAAATAAAAACAGAGTCCATATACAAATACAATTAAAAATAGCTAAAATTCAGAATTAGAAAATAATAAATATTGGAAAAGGAGACTAGAGCCCATACCAGTATACACTTTCATATATTTTAATAATAAAATAAGAAAAACATATATGCTATTATACAAGAGAAAATATAAGGATGCTAGTTGTGCAATCTGTGCAGACCACCAGCTAGTAGTTATTAATATGTACTACTAACAATTAGGCTACGTACACAGCTCATATATACTCCCTCCATTCTAAAATATAAGACACAACCACCCTTAACCCAAAGACCAAGAAATAATTATTATTATCTCATAGTTTGGATTGCCATAATAAATATAATGCATGCACCCAATAAAATTAAAGATCTTAATGGTGGATGATTTAAATAATAATATTTTAGTAGAAAAGAGGTGCTAATTAATGACATGCATGCATGCACGTCTTATATCATGAAACAACTTTTTAAAAGTAGTTGTGCCTTATATTATGGAATGGAGGGAGTATATAACGTATCGATCTCTGCTGTATATCCAATGAACTTGTTTGTCCGGCCATCTCTGACGATTTTGTTGACCTATCAGAATATCTGGAGAAGGTGATCAATAGGTAAACCCACCTATCGATCGACCATGATCTGCATGCAATTACTTGAGAATATGAAAACCTAATTAAATTAATTAGCTAGTTAATTAAGGAGATAGAGATCGAATTGTGCTGCTCATGGCCGATGGAGAGCATCTGATCGATCTACCCAACAGAATCAAAGATACTAAAGTGTACAACAAAGGACAATGCAAAGCGAGGGCACACAGTCCACGAAAGAATCTTGATATGCAAGCAGTTACTATTGGAATCTCCCGGCCATACGGAAGAGGTTCAAAGTGAATCTTTGAATTAAGATTCCTCTGCCTGAACTGGTACCACATGAAATAGCTAGATACGTATAGTATGTAATATGTGTTCTTCTTACCTTTATTTAGGCTAGATAGAAAGGTGCGTTTGCCCTTCATGTCGCTGAAGTGTCGTTTGTTAGAGCAAAAGTAGTTGCTCTATAATATATTGACTAGTAACTATTAGCTTAATCAGAAAAGGTAATGATGGCTTTGGCGGCTCTTTGCGTGCATTTAGGGCCGTTAATTTGATGCAGACAAGGATGGCTGCAGGCTAGATGGCAAAAGTGCCAGCGGTTTCATGCTGTCGTTGTCTCTGAATATACTCTCGTATAATCATATGCTTCCAACTACAAAGAGAATATACGCTTAGAATAAGCTGATACAGCAGTTAGAGTTGTGGCGGCTATATATATAAATTTAATCACGCATGTGAAACAACTTTAGATTTTTGTACTAGCTTAGTACACCACTATATACCAAAGCACAATTTTTTTTATTTTAAGGCTTGTACTTTCGCGGGTTTAAAAATTAGTTCGTGCCAGAGATCTGTCAGTGCGTTAACTAAACTTTGTGAACTGTATAGAGTAACTTAAAAAAAGTGTATCGCCTACCCTCTCTCCCAAAATAAAACAAACCTATAATTGAATTGGCATATACTAGTACAACGAATATGGACAGTCTCCTGTCCAGATTCGTTCTGCATAGTCTCCTGTCTAGATTCATTGTATTAGGATATGTCATATCAAGCCTATCCAGATTCGTTGTATTAGGATATATCACATTCAGTCCTAGATTTGTTTTTTCTTTTAATGGAGGAAGTAAGTATTGGCTATGAGTTACAATAGTAGGAATCAGGGGGATCGATTGATGAATCAATTGATATAGTACTAACTAACACAAACGAGAGGTTGAGGAGAGACGGGCGATAATGGTGGTGGCATTCACTTTGTAAAAGCTAGCAAAGTTATACAAAATTATGTATAAGCTAGACAAACAGATTATTTATAGCCCCCTATCACCTTGTATATTATGATTCGTTTTTATATTTTTGGGGTGGGAAGGTAGGGTACAAATAAATTATATATATGATATATATAATTAATAGTATTGTTTTACAAGATAGAAAGATAATGTTTGTGTGGCATGCACTACTACGAAAATCATTTTTATAGATGGCTAACTTGTGTTTGTAGAGAAAGTTGAGCCAACTGCGTGCTTCTAACAAAACACCCGTCGTAGTTGTGAAAAGCACCGCCTGTGAAAATTAATTTCTGGCCAACCACCTCTTAAAATGATTTTTAGCACAAAAAACAATAAAAATACAGTTTAGATATCTCGGTATAGAACAATTTACAGATAAACACTAGCTATTCATGCAACTCACCAATCAACACAATCATGAGAAATTCAGCAAAATTCAACAATTCCCCAAGTTCGAGCTGCTAGATTGAAACCAGAAAAATTTTCAATACTGCAAAAGAGACCTCAGCATGAACTTATATGCAAGTGCTCGCGACCGTCGAGTTCAGTCTTGGAACCATCCCTCAGCCTCGAGATAAAGGGCACGCAGCCCGCACCCATCCTAACTCTGGCTGCTCTCAAATCACATAGAGAGAGAGAGAGAGAGAGAGAGAATGAGGAGAACAGAGAAATAACAAGAAGGTGCCTTTGTCATGTCATTGCGCAGATCTTGCCCTAACTGTCTTCCACTGCTCATAGAGGCTTGAGATCCCGTCATCCCCATCACCGTTGCATGGCGGGAGATGTTGATGTAGGTGGGGGAAGGGAGGTGTGTCAGCATAGCTTGGAGAGGGAGGCAGCGACACAGGAGATCCGGCCCTCCCACACTTCCGATAGATCTAGCTCTTCCGTGCATCTGTCTGAGCCACCACCCTCTCTCCTGGCAGAGCATCTGGGAGAGAGAAGCAGCAACGTAGCTAGGAGAGTAAGGCGGTGGACCAACCTCCAGGGAGCAAAGGACGCCAGATCTGCACCGGAATAGAGAGATATAGTAGAAGATAGGGGGGCAACTGTCGATGACCTCATCCCAGCCGGCTAGTACAATCGAATCCACTAGCACCGAGGCTTGGGTCACTAGATCCCGTGGCCCTAGCCTAATTGCTGGAGGATGCGACGGTGCTTGTGAGCTCTGTCATGATCGTCGACTTGACCTCTCTACTATTGTGTTGAATTGCCCCCCCCCCCCGGCCCCCTCTTCCCTCCCGGTCAGTGGGGCCTATGTACTTATATTCCTTAGTCTGTAATAATTGGTTTGGACTTTACAGAGATAATCTTGGTATATCTCGATCTTGTCCATGTAGGTCTTTAGTGTTTTACTCCTAATATGTTAGACAA